TTTGGTAACATGTCTAGACGTTTGGTAATGTGTATGAACCTTTGGTAACATGTCTAGACGTTTGGTAATGTGTATGAACCTTTGGTAACATGTCTAGACGTTTGGTAATGTGTATGAACCTTTAGTAACATGTCTAGACGTTTGGTAATGTGTATGAACCTTTAGTAACATGTCTAGACGTTTGGTATTGCCTCTGATTATTGTGCTCTTCCCTGTATGCCCAGGATCTACATGATTTTTTAAGGTTTCAACTGTTTCCATGTTATGATTCAAAACCTAAGATGCGAGGTGTAGGCTGGACCTCAGGGCCAGTTTAGTGGCATATGTCAATTCATCTCTTCAAACAATTGTATATTGATTATGGTGTTGTCATGACAACTGTTTTGTTGGCTTGGGCTGATAACCCCTAAATTCCTCCTAATGTTTAAGACCAAGGCATACATTGAGGTGGATTTGACTTGAATTTATCTCTCGGATGTCGTCGATGAAGCGGAAGACGCTTAAGCATCCGGAACACCTGGGCCCAGTTGTTCGAAATGTGATTAGCTTAATCACTGTTTAACGGCATTTTTCAACCTTGAATAATTTCGTCAATTTACCAGGTATAATCTCACAATTTTGCATGTAAATTCACTCTACTAAATATGTGCTATCCCGAAGAAAATTGTAACTAATTCAATGGTTTTGTTTTAAAGTTACACAAAAATTAAAATTTGTGCTAATCACTAATTAAGCTAATCACCTTTTGAACAACTTGGCCCTTGTCTTATTCTCCTCGAACTGATTCAAGGGCCTTTATGCAAATATTCATTTTGTCCATATTTTGTCATAGTTTTATTGATTTTGATTTGCAGAAATTCTCATTTATCAAATAAGTCTATAACTTAGACAGACAAAGAGGTGGAATTAGCAGCAGCCTTCTGTATTATGCAAATTTATTTTACAGTATAAAAAGTAATATTTAAATTTTAATAATAAAATACCAAGGTCATATCATACATTGTAGGACGACACACTACCATTAGTCAGGACCACTTAATACCCATAGCCTGGGGAAAAGTTCAAAATCTGTTTGTTGTCCTGTCTGTACCTAGTCACCCCTTGAACTTTTTGCAGTCGAATGAGTGATCTTTTAATACTTTTGTCAATATACATAGATCTGCTTGAGTGAATCATCCGTTACACTGTCGAACCGTAAAGTTGATTTCAGATAATAGCGAACGTTTTTGTGTTTCTGTCTGCCATTGTTCACTGTCCGTTGATAAATACTCGTTCTTTCTGATTGGTCGATATAACATTTGCCTCGAAAACTATCTGTCGCTTAAAATTTCAGTCAAAGTTTCTCGATTGTAATGTTGACTTCTCATGTGGGTTTTAGGAGTTCATAGCAACATCGTTTGTGTAAAATAGTTCTTAGTATGATTTAAGCCAATCACACCGAAGCAGAAACGAACGTCGTACAAGAAAAACTATGCCGACTGTATTTTTCAAAATGCATAACAAAAGACATATATGTATCTTGTTGTCATCAGCATAGTAACCAATTTTAAACAATTAGTCTTTTTCAAGTTAAGCAGATAAATATCAACGTTTTTTGTTTGTAAACTATCCTAAAACGGTCCCTTTCATTCATAGGACCTTGTATTTTTTTCTACGTTATTTTACCTTTGTTCTTTACGACATTGACAAAAACGCCTGACACAACCACACGCATGGAGGCCTGTCTTTAAATGAACTTAGCTGTTGATAAAACCATGTACACCAAAAAACAACCGTTGGCATAACCCCGCGTCCTGTTCTCGAAGGCCTTTTACACATTATCGATTATTAAAATGCCATTTTTAACTTCTCAATGATCACACAGCAATTCCGAACAACACCATACAATATAACACTCACTGACAATTTGATTTAGAGCTTTAAGTGCTGGTGAATTATTTACCGTTTTGTGTCATAAAATCCAGACGCGCGGTCTGAACTCAATTTGTAACAAGGTACGAAAGATCCAAATGGTATTGAATAAATAAAACCCCATGTTTGATGTTTCATTAAGAACTTTATTGTGTTTATAGAACATTATGCATAATAAAACGATGGACTACTCTCAATAAACACGAAAAGCGAATACCGAGACCTGGAATACTGCGTAAATGTTAATCCTTAATCGAAAAACCATTATTTATGTACAAATAACACTTGCAGATCTTGTTACTCGCTGACGTTGTTATAGGTGACAATCCATCTATTTTGTTACACTCACAGACGTCTCAATAGCGGACAATACCTGTAATTAAATATTAAGCAAACACAGTTTCTAATACGAACAATTCTTCCTTTGCAATTATGTTCCGTTGTGCCTATCATGAAAACGTCCCTACTGAACAAAAGTTCTATAATGACATTAACTAAGGATTTAATAATATCATGTGAGGCGTGTGACGTATTTCATTTAACCATTCGGGATGTTACCTTGTTAAGAGGACCAGTTCACGTTTTTCGCAGCGCGCCGTCCGACATCCGTCCGTCCGTCAACTTTTTAAACGATAAAAACGTCCGGACGTCAACCTTTGAAATGCTACTTGTCCTGAACTGTTCAATGGAATTTTAATTAAATATGATATGTAGCATCCTTGAGTAAATGGGACTCATTGTTGTATCAAACGAGGATGTGTTACATGGGGATAGAGGTATCAAACCTTAATAGGGGAAATATATGCAAATCTTTTAAGTCCTTCTCTATCTGTTCGAAGCACACCAAAATATCTATGTCTTCAGCATACACACACACAAGCACGCGTAAACTACACACATGGAGGTACGTCCTTAAATGACCTTAGCTGTTGATAGAACGTTAAACAGAATTAAATAAACCAAACCAATCTGTACGAATCAGCAGATCTTAACGGTAACGTCCTGTGGCGAAGAGGAATTTATGCAGTGCAATCGCAGTGGCAACGCGGCTAGTTGTGACAGGGGTTTTAGCAGTAGATGGGCGTGACACGATAGCGGGAAACGATGTCAACCATTAAATCACTCTCCTAGATTATGAATGAAAGGATTTTAACAAAATTTGAACGGGAGTTTCCTTTCGCCAAAGGAACTCAAAAGTTAAGGCCCCCTGGACGCAGAGGCGCAGAGCAAAACAGTAAGGACAAGAAGTAAATTTTTAAAATTAATTTCGTATAGATTAAAGGATTACCCAAATCTGATCTGACTCAGCCTTGGACCGAAGACGGGACCCTTTATCGGAAATAGAAGTAAGAAACTAATTTAGTTTTACCTACGGTGCAAAAGAGGTTATTTTACTCAAATTTTATCTGAAGCATCCTTGGACCAAGAGGACTTGATGAGGTAAAAACGGAAGGTTTCCACTTCTATTTGGCAGAGGGGGCGGGACCAACTTGGGGAAATTGGTAACTCTTTTAAATCGTATTCCTTCCATTGGAAAAAAAGGTTTTTCATCTAATTTAGTCGCATTGTATTTGAGTGAGTTAGCACTGTAAAGTCGGCATCAGATTCGCACTATCGCAAAGAAGCAAATACATCAACATAACTTTGTTGTCAAAGAACTTACTTTATCGAAAACTGAACCTATACACAAAAACCGTGCAAGGTCGGGAATAGAATAGGCCTGCTGTATTCCATTGCAGGATCGTACGAGGCGACTAATTTGGTCCCGTGCAGACTCAGAAATGGTTTCTTCCTTGTCTACTGTAACGAGGACATTGAAGAACCCAATAATGGACTTATTGTATCTCGCTTAATGTGAATCGTAAAAGGCGACTTATGTCGGGCCCCCGGCAAAATAGATGGCTTTCTTCCTGTGTCTTCTACGAAGAGGTCAAACGATAAATCTATGAATACACTATACTCAGATTCATGTCTCGAAATTTCCCTACACAATACCGCTTTGGCCTCAAAAGGTTAAAGACTTTAGTACATACGTATATTACTGCATTTTTTCTCCACAGAACTTGATCCACCCATGCGCACACAGAACATGCCAGAAAGGTTCCGAGTGTTACGTGATGAAAAACGGAAATGCCGTTTGTATCAAAACAGGTAAGATACCAACTTGCATTTGACTTAGGATACCTCGAAAAAGTTAAGTGATATATTTTAAACATTCTGACACAATATAATGTGATTTTAACCTGATGAATCAATTAGAGTATCATTATAGTTGCACGTAAAAATGATGTTTTTGTGTAACGATCAGAGGAAATTATTCACATCAACAGGTTTTAATGCTGAAAAAATGGAAAACAAAATTGCTTATATTTTGAACAGTATTAACATATTGAACTGTTATCCAGTGCACTTAATGGATAATTTGTGTTCTTTAAACGTTTACGTCATAATATTGGAACGACAGAATGCACCGAAAGCCCTTGGCTGTCCGTGGCGAATTCCACAACTCTGTCTCTTGAGCGGACGGTCGGACGTACGGTCGGCATCGTCTGCAATGACGGATTCATAATAAACGGTAATCAGCAGAGGACGTGCAAAGGTAACGGACAGTGGACAGGTGTGAACACGACCACGTGCATCGGTAGGTTTCACGAAAGTAGATTAATTGTTTTTCGATGGGAAAGCATAAATACATTTAAAAACACTCCTTCAAGTGAAAATTCTTTAACATCAGCAATGTCTTTCTGTGGGAAATTTAAAGTTTAGAAATTTCGTAAAGTTTATAACTTTTCTGGAACTCGGTTCTCGCGTTGTCTACAATTAGCCCTTTCCTTCCAAGTACACGCAGAGTACACTTCTACTGCATATCATGAGGAAATCAGCTGTTTATGTTTTGTGGCAAAAAGAATACAAATTGTTAAATGTCCCTAAGAACTATACAAGCAATATGGTAATATTGTATTCCATATTTTACATCAAGTTTCAAATCAATGATATTTATCAAAACGATAGCATCAAGTGTTGAATCTATGATACTTACCAATACGATAATCAATATAAGATGACACTTACACGTATCTCCAGCTGAAATGAGATAATGTCTATAAAAATATAACGAGTCTTAAATATTATTTTGAAACAGTAAATATCTCTAAAATTCTAGATTACCTGAGGACTGCTGGTCTGTGCCAAAATATATAACTAACAATATCATCTTTATACTTACATTTATTTTTTACTTGTATTATCAGTATTAATATAACGGCTATACATAAACGACTATTTCATTAATTATCAATTAATGATGGGTGATATATATACATGAATCTGAAGCTACATGCAATTTTCCTGGAACAGACGATGTTTAAATTTCTTCATATTACATTGGTAAGTGAGATAATAAAAAGACCAAGATTGTTTTGAACACAAACATGAATTGAAAGGTTAATTTGCCAGCTTTCGAAAACGCCTGTTTTCTTTGACGTTTTCGAAAGCTCGTTTTCAATTTGTGTTCAAAACAAACTTAGCCTTTGTTATTCCTACGATACCGATGAATACAATTCCAAACTGAGATTATATACATATCTTTTTTTTTTGAAATGCAAGGTTACGAGCAATTAAAATTTACTACCTTTTCTTGGTATTATGTCATATCCAATATAAACACATGTACTTATATAGAGTGTGCAAACGTAACCCACTACACGACCTACGAGACAGCTATACACCACTGTTTATCCGAAGGCAAAGGACTGCTTCAGTATGGACATAGAACCCCAGCACTCCGTAATGTCACACAAGGTATGATATGTAAGGATAGTAAATAGAGCTATTTCAGCAGTTTCGTCGCTCTCCCTCATAACTTCAAATTTTAATCTATAAACGTCTTTTCTAAAACAGCTTTTCATGATTTGATCCTACTTTAAACTTTGAATAATAATAATAATAATAATTCGAGGTTCTTAGATACGGCTTAATCACAACCTAGTTCGTAGATCGTCTCAAAGCTGTTGTTTAATATTCTGTAATAATTTATTGAAATAACAGGGAGATGTAAGACGTGCCCCAGTGACTTAGTGGCTTACCTACATAAAAGATACCTAGACGCCGACTGCACGACAGGCTACACAAAGTATGTACAATTTTCTTGTCTTTTCAATTTAAAAACGCGCCGAGTTACTTCGGCCTTATGATATTATCTGAAAGTCACGTCATGGCCCACAATCGACGTTAACCGATTATTCTTCACGTATGTAAGTGGTCAAAATGATCGTCGTTACCGCAGTAGAATCTCCTGTTACCTATATCTCAATTGATACAACGTGTATGACAACTGTTCAATCGAAAGCAGTCATTGTCACTCTTTCAATCATTACCATATAATTATATATAAGTTGAAAAGTGAGATCTGATTAAGAAAAATCTGAAAGGATTTCGTCAAACCTTTACTCACCTATTCATGTGTCTGCTGTATCCGACTGCATGATCAAATGAACCGACTAATGAACCCCCTCCCCCCATGTGGAATTTAAAATTGAATGTTTTTCTGAGCATCAAAACCAACATCCAAAGTGCCACCCCTTCGTGTTGCCCCCCCCCCCCNTTGTCAGAATAATATGACCGAATTTAGTTTCGTACTATTTTGTCTAGTTTATGAACCTTCAATGAGATGGCACTGAGCGACTCTGAATTGGCGTCCTTTGTAGACAAAGCAAATATCCGAAAAAGTGTTAAAAAAAACCCTGTGATATATCTTTAACAAAATTAGACGTCGTGTTCGGTTAATGCAATTTTATCAGATTTGATTAAGAAACATTTTATAGATATTAAGGAAAGGAACCTTTTTTTTCAGGATTTCTCTAGCGGAGATAAATTATTTCTGAAAAGAAAACCAAACCCTCGGGAATTTTATGAGAAACACTAAACATGACATAGACAAAATGTAATCAACTGTTCTGAGTGTACAAATTCAGTGCGGCAAGACCGGGGTTCGAAACCTGGACTTCAGATAGTTATACTATTGCTCGACACGATTGAGCTACCTGTCCAATGGAAGTTGCATTGTTAACTATGCTTCGGTTACATTTTAATATACAAAAGGAAATTAAGAAGTCTCGAGATTCTGGGGCAAGACCAACGAAAGTAAGTGGCCAGGCCAAACAGTGCATCAGTTACATCTAAACGGAAGTTAAGGGGAGGTTACTCTATATACAATATAAACAAAGTGAAGTGGGATAGGAATCCTTAAAAAAAGTTCACCAATGCTATTTATAGCAGTACTTTTTTGTTTTAATTACAGCAACTTAAACTGTACCTGTCATTTTACAACGGCTGCTCCAGATATGAAAATAGCAATAGCGACAGAGTTCCTGGATTTGGAAACTAATTATGACTTTTTGTATATATTCGACGGTAAGATGACTATGCAAGTTTTCCTAGATTAAACAAATGGAATAAATAAATTTATAAATACAAGACTTCCTTACTTATACTGATGTTATTTCGGAAAAAGATACAATAACGCGTTGATAATTCATTGTAAATACCTAACAGTTTCTTTTATTATTGATTTGTGACCGGGCGAAATGCTGTGATGGGTGCCTCCGGCATAGCATTTCAGTGAGATAGCACCTTTAAGTCGGCACCATATTCACGCATATTCATATTCACAAGGAGCAAGGAGGCAAAAACACCCAGATACCCTGTCTCCTACAGACTTGCCCGCAAACGCAACACACATTCCTAAATTACCTTTGCGGTTGATAAGACCTTAAACTCTGTACAACAACAAATACAGTACGCAAGGGACATGGAAGAGACAAAAATGTATGTTTGCCATCATTGCAACAACTCTGGATCTTTTTCATTTCTTATCTTTCATCGTCTTCTTCTTTTTTTTATCTACTCTCTGTTCCATGCGGTGTCTCCTTAGACACCCGGCCTCATATGACCCTCTCTCTTATCAGGACGTTAAACCCCAAACAAACAAAAACAATCTATGCGGTAAGCGTTTAGGTTATGTGTGATAACCCATCAAAAACATGAATAGACGATTGATTTCTGAATAGCCTAAAATTGACTATATAAGTGGGAGCAGTTAGTATTTTTTACACAATTTATCTTTTTTTCCCCAAACACTCGAGTTGTAGGAGAAAATGCGACCTACCCGATCCTCGGCAGCTATACGGGAACGACGCCATTTGCACTGGTCACCACTGGGACCGATGCCTTTATGGCACTGAAGACGGATCATTTGTTTGTAAATTCTGGCTTCCGACTGTCCTACCGCATGGTTCCGCCTGACGTCGCCAGTGACACACCTTCATCTCTGAATCTGGGAGGTAACCAAATAAATCCTATTTTACAATCTGACATTTTGAGGTAACCGGGCAACCTGATGACATACCTGCATCACTGACTTCATCAGATAACCATACAAATATAACTCTACATCTTTGTCACTGTCCTCGTGAGGTAACCGGGCAATCTAGTGGTGACACATCTACATCTCTGAAGCCAAGAGGAAACCAAATAAGTAACTTATTTTACACTCTGCCATTGTGAATTACCGGGCAACCTGATAACATACCGGCATCACTGACACAACCAGGTCAACAAACAAATATTGTTATACATCTGTGTCTCTGTCCTCGTGAGGTAACCTGACAACCTAACGACACACCTGCATCTCTGACATCACCAGTTTATTATACAAATATAAGTATACATTTTTGTCTCTATCCTCGTGAAGTAGCTAGGCAACTTATCGACACACCTACATTGTGTACATCTCTGATTTCACCAGGTAACAACATACATGTAGTTATACCACTTTGTACACGTGAAGTAATCGAACACATCTATTAACATAGTCTGTCTGCAATTTATTTTTGCGATGTAACTGAACACACCTTGTATCATGTTCTTATATCTGACGATGCCAGGTAACCATATACACACATAGTAACACACTTAAATCACCGATATCAGTAGTAGCAGTAACCAGGTAGCCGTCCACGCCTAGTAGCATGTACACATCACTAAGTTGTCATCAGGACAAAATAAAACACCTAACACTCAAGTATTACATTGTAACCAGTTAACCAACCACAAACCTCGTAATATGTCTATAACGCTCGAGGTTAACATTCACATCTAGTAGCACACATTAAACTCTTGTATTGTATTGTATTGTATTATATTGTTACTAGGTAACCGACCACACATATAAACACCTATTTTCGGTTATCCACTAGCAGATAACACCCCGGACGTTATTTCAATTTTCTAATTATGACGTCAAGTAACAATGCTTTGCGACGCCATCTGCCATTGTGACGTCATAGTTCATGGCACATCAACAGGAATAAGGTACATGGAGTAATAGAATCTTTCACCCCCTTGGGGGTGAGACAGGGTCATCTCAACCCTCGGGGTAAGATTCTTAAGCTGTCAAACACTCGGCAAGCCTCGTGTTTGACAACATCAGAATCTTACCCCGAGGGTTGAGATCACACTGTCTCACTCACAAGGGGGTGAATGATTATTTTTCTCTTACCCTGTGTTTACCGTCTTATGTATTTTATATAGACATTAAATTAATGCAAGACAATGTTGATATGATGCGGCTGAATTGTCGATGTGACGTCATTGTAGTGTTGCCGTGACGTCATGGTATTGTTAATATGACGTCATACATTTGTTGAGAACGTGCAAAGAACACGTGTACCTTGTCTCAACCCTAGGGTGAGATAAGAAAATCTCACACCGGTAAAATGGTGATATCCCTGTCCAGGGTAAGAGAAAAGGTATTCCCAAGAGAAACATAATATTTTCTACATGTATTATCTGAACATTGTGGCAGAAAAAGGCCCTTAAACTCGTGATTGTTGATACTCATGTTTATCTAACTCTCTTTAGTTAACTTTCAAATGTAAAAGAAATTCTGTAAACCTCGTGTCTGTTAACAATTTGAAAATTACCCGACTGAGATAAACAAGGTAACCAACTCGTGTACCTCTATGTAATCACTTGAACGTTCACTCCTAGTTACACACCTGCTTCTCTGATATTATATTGTTACCACTTAACCATCCACAATTAGCTACACATTTAAATCTCCGATATTATATTGTTACCACTTAACCGTCCACACTTAGCTACACACTTAAAACTCCGATATTATATTGTAACCACTTAACCGTCCAAACTTAGCTACACATTTAAATCTCCGATATTATATTGTTACCACTTAACCGTCCACACTTTGCTACACACTCAAATCTTCGATATTCTATTGTTACAACTTAACCATCCACACTTAGCTACACACCTAACTTTCTGATATTATATTGTTACAACTTAACCATCCACACTTAGCTACACACTCAACTCTCCGATATTATATTGTTACAACTTAACCATCCACACTTAGCTACACACTCAACTCTCCGATATTATATTGTTACAACTTATCCGTCCACACTTAGCTACACATTTAAATCTCCGATATTATATTGTTACCACTTAACCGTCCACACTTAGCTACACATTTAAATCTCCGATGTTATACTGTTACCACTTAACCGTCCACACTTAGCTACACATTTAAATCTCCGATGTTATACTGTTACCACTTAACCGTCCACACTTAGCTACACACTCAAATCTCTGATATTATATTGTTACAACTTAACCATCCACACTTAGCTACACACTTAAATCTCCGATACTATATTGTTACTACCTAACCATCCACACTTAGCTACATACTTAAATCTCCGATATTATAGTGTTACAACTTAACCGTCCACACTTAGCTACACACTCAAATCTCTGATATTATATTGTTACTACTTAACCATCCACACTTAGCTACACACCTAATTTTCTGATATTATATTGTAACCACTTAACCGTCCACACTTAGCTACACATTTAAATCTCCGATATTATATTGCTACTACTTAACCGTCCACACTTAGCTACACACTCAAATCTCTGATATTATATTGTTACCACTTAACCGTCCACACTTAGCTACACACTCAAATATCGGATATTATATTGTTACCACTTAACTGTCCACACTTATCTACACACTCAAATATCGGATATTATATTGTAACCGCTTAACTGTCAAAACATAGTTACCCACTTAATTTTCTGATAATATATTGTTACAACTTAACCGTTTATACCTAATTACATTTTATTGATATATGTGTTTGAACAGCTGGAACACAATTCATGTAAAACAGAAATCACTTTTGTAAACGAACAAATACATGGGATGACCTTGTTTCAATAAGTCCTCAATCAGCAGCGTTTACAATAAAAAAAATGCAAAATTAATCATATCTGTTGAGCCATGCGAATTGGCTCGGACCTATTTTTCTATTTGTAGACATTCCCCGTTACCTCTGGTTGGACGGATACCTTGATGCTAAAAATCACCAATTTCAATTACCAAATGGTGAAGTCGTCAGTATGAGCACGTTGACCTTAGATGCTGCTGCTAAACTTTCACGGTTGTGTTACGACCCGGTCTTCGACCAACTTAAAGCATTTGATGACACCGATTACTGCAACACGTACTGTGAAACCCTGTGATGGCACAACTAAGACAATAACTTTATGATATTGCAACTAACATAATGAATGACAACTAACGCGTTATGTTACAACAATCATCTTGAGTGACAACTTTCCTGTTATGTTACAACTAACAACATAAGTGACAACTTTTCCATTATGTTACAGCTAACATTATGAGTGGCAAAAACTCCGTTAGGTTACAACAAACATGAATATCAAATATATCTTCCGATGTGTTTCAACTGATAATGTGGTTACAAATAACACCTTTTATGTTATAACTCCTTTTTTGTTACGTATGTGACAATACGACCGTAACCTTGATTTAATGGTTTTGAGATTGGTAATCAAAAGTTTGTATAATGCTGAGTTGAACCACTAACAGAGACAGCGATAAAACGTTGTTTTTAAGGATTATTGGCAAGTTTAGCATCCAATACAAACGAGGCAGGTCCTAATCGTTATCGTTAGTAGTAACGCGGAAATTTTGTAATACAGAAGAGTGATTAGTTTGTATTTTGTCTTTCAATAGGTTTATCTGACTGAACGGTGCACTTTAGAAAAGAATTCTTATTTGACACAGGACAGCTTGGCAAAGTATAGTGTTGAGTTTTAGTGTGATATAAGACTGACAGGTATAGTATAGTGATGAGTTTTAGTGTAATACAGGACAGACAGGTATAGCATAGTGATGAGATTTAGTGTAATACAAGACTGACAGGTTTTGTATAGTGGTGAGTTTTAGTGTGATACAGGACTTTCATGTATAGTGGTGACGAGTTCTAGTGTGATACATAACAGATAGGCAATGTATAGTGATGAGTTTTAGTGTGATACATGACTGAAAGTGTAGTATAGTGATAAGTTTTAGTGTGATACAGGACTGAAAGGTGTACTTATGTGGTGATGAATTCTTGTGTGGTACAGGACAGACAGGTATAGTATAGTGGTGAGTTCTAGTGTGATACATGACTGACAGGTTTAGTATAGTGATGAATTTTAGTGTAAAACAAGACTGACAGGTATAGTATAGTGATGAGTTCTAGTGTGATACAGGACTGACAGTTATAGTATAGTGATGAGTTCCAATGTGATACAGGACTGATAGGTATGGTAAAATGATGAATTTTAGTGTAATTAAAGACTGTCAGGTTAATTATAGTGATGAGTTCTAGTGTAAAACGGGACCTACGATCGTATATTTGATTTAAGATGATTGTTATAAATGTATATTTTATGACAATTCGCGTTCGCGCGTAATTGTTTCTTGTCAGCGTATGCAAATTGATTATTTATTAGTGCTTAATTTCAGTTGGCTATCTTAAGAGCAGTGTCGTGTTTTAGTGTTAAGTGTTCTATTTTTAAAATGTACATATATGTAAATAAAACAAAATAGTGTTCAATTACATTTTGTCGTCCTTGTCAATATAACATGATTAAGTGATAGTTTTGACTTTTCCTGTTTTGTTAACATAATATATTTCATCGCTAAATTGTATTTCGAATATTTATCTACTAAAATGTAGTAAACATTTCATCGCTAAATTGTATTCCAAATGATGTTTATCGAGTAAAATGTAGTAAACATTCAATGAATCACACAGAACATTTTGTATTTCTTTGTGTTTTCACTTTTAATATGAGATGAAAAAAAACCTTGTGATTTTGTTTTTCATTGTAGGCTCGAAATTGTTTTTATAGCCAAGGGAACATCTAAATCAATTATTGTTTTGTTATATGTTTGCATATAAATATATTTTTAGATTATAACATGGAATTTAATTTGCTTGGACGATTCCAGGGAGTCATCGATTGTGCAATTGTATCAAAGAATATCCACAAATCTAAGATATTTTTGTTTGTTTTGTGTTTTACGACCTATCAACATATACAGCTACGGTCATTTACGTGCAATGTTTTGGTGGTGGAGGAAAACCGCAGTCAGACACCTCAATAACTCAGCTATCGCGGCCAACAAAGCTAAGATATAAATAAAAGACTGGTCAAAGTCTTAAAAAATGATTTAGCTGTTAATAGGAAGTTAAACCCTGTACAACCAACCATTATCCATAAAAAATGGTAAAAACGCACATGATGCAATAAAGACTCGGACTTTAATTCTGATTATATCGTCTTTAAATGTTGTACAATTTCTAGGATTTGGCCTAGATTTACATTGTGGGTGCCGTCAAACACGCTTGTCCTTCCGGAACACGATGTCTTATCCTTGCACTTTTTCAAGGGTTCCCATACAAACCTCTCCTTTATTCATATATTTAACCCTACTTTTAATCAATTTTGAGTTCTAACTACGGTTTTTGTTGACGCGTCGGTATTCTCGTGTTGTTTATTTATTAAAATGAAAGCTCAATCTTAAGAGAATATATACAAGAGGCCAAGAGGGCCTGTATCGCTCACCTGTATATCTAAGCAATTATGGCAAAATATTCTCCAAATGAGATCCAAGGGAGTATGTGGCATATCTGTATTAGATTTTTCCTGCCCAGCAATTTTATGTATCGTTTTGGGGTGGGGATCTCAACTGTTTTCAAGCTGTGACTAAGAAACTAGGTCCGTCGGGGTTCAGTCAGACCCCAGGGTCTATTCTTATATCATAACTACATTTGTCTCTGGGGCAGGGGGGTTGGGGGTCAGCCCCACCATTTGTACAATTTTGAATCCCCACCACCTAGGAATACTTCCAGTCCAATATGGTTGATATCCATCACTTAGTTCCAGAGAAGAAGTCGCTTAAAGCAATATAGCCAAATTGCCCTCTTTTGGCCCCGCCCCTCACCCCCCTGGGAGGTTAGCCCTACGATTTGTACAATTTTAAATCCCCAATACATATGGATGCTGCCAGTCAAATATGGTCAATATCAATCACTTAGTTCTAGAGAAGAAGTCGCTTAAAGCAATAAAACCTAATTGCCCGCTTTTGGCCCTGTCCCTCAGCCCCCTGGGGTCAGCCCAACTATTTGTACCACCTAGGGATGCTTCCAGTCAAATTTAGTTAAATTCCAATCAGTGGATAAGAAGAAGAAGTCGTTTAAAGCAATTGTTGACGTACAGACGACGGACGGACGACGGACGCCATGGTATGGCATAAGCTCACCTTGGTCCTTCGGACCAGGTGAGCTAATAAGTGAATATGAATAAATAAATACGTGTTTAATTATGAGAAGTTCAACTCTGATGTTGGCCGTAGGCCTTTACATTGATTTTGACATGGCAACCTGCAATACTAGAATAACAAGGTTTATTATGTCATTACGAATAGTACGGTAACTTCAAATAACATCATTTACCATTGCGAGTTTTCTTAGGACTTTTGTAACGGCCCCACATTTACTAGAACTTGTTATATATGTATTTAAGAATACTTTTAACATGTTTTGCTATTTTTGCACCCCTTTATGGCTGATAATTTCAGAACTATGCATCGACTTTCTAAATTTCGAGATAGGCACGTTCTTCATTCATATATCTAGTAATTACTTTAATTTGTTAATTGTTCGTGTTAGCTTGCAACACTTTCTCAACTACATTTAAGAAACCGTTTGTCTTGTTTAATTGTAGTTTTACTTTATTTTGATTAACTTTCAATCAACAGCTATGGCCATTTAATGATCCGTGTGTCGTATATGCGTGCTTTCGTGTTTGTGTGCAGGACGCAGGGTATGTTGGTGTATTTACCTCCTTGTGATAGCGCGGATCTGATGTCAACGTTATATTGTTTTTCTTCATAAAACAGACATTTGTATGTAGTCTTAGCGTGGTTAGTAAGGGGAAAGCTTATGGACTTCACAATTTCAGTTCGGGCCAATTCTAGTATCGCCGCTCAGAAGTTGTAAAATCAGCATTCCAGGTACTTTCGTTAAAAATCCAAAAACTGTCGTTTGTAGAGCTCATTTTTAAGGCATCAGTATATTATTTTTTATAAACTTATATACCCAACTACTTAGTTGCAACATTCCCAGCCTACATCAATATAACATAGGATATATGCGTGGGTAGCGCAAACAATTCTTTCAATTATGTATGTGGGAACCACAAGAAAAAGTAACGGTTTGACGCGTCGCTTGTGTTGACAACAACCTAATAGCTCCTTAAACGTATTACGTTTTTTAATGTCTACCAACATTACGTTGTGGATAACACAACGTCTTGGTCTAGATTGCGTCACCAAGTAGTCTAATGGTAACGTAATCAAGTTGCAGGCTCGAAGAACAACTTCCGGAGATGCACCAATGCAGATCTGGAATAAAAAATGTTTCTTAAGAGGCAATTAATGGGTAACCCCCTGCAGAATAAGAGATTTGCATCTGTGCCTTCAACAGGGGAAAATAAGCGATGACAATTGATTCGTTGCTTCAATTGAAACATTTCTGAGACTGGTGTCTTCTCTCCTTTCTAACAACATCTTTGTGTCATTAATTTTTACTTTAGAAGATTTTACATTTGGCCTTGGTATTCAGCATTCGCCAAAGCGAAGAAGGTTTACGGTTGTCCCTTAACCGAGACGAAGCAAAAACCAAAAATGCTTACTGCTTTCTGATTGCGTTCAGCGCTGAATTTGTGGCGGTAAAGTCTGGGAAGTCCACTTTTAGCATGATGTGAAGAGGCGGAGTGTCATGATAACTTTTCTAGATTATTACATTTCCGTAAAATAACACTTTAATGTGAGTCTAAACTAGCCCCATCACCCATTTTCATATGGTTTCAACTGATGTGACGAAATATCCATATGGGGCAGTAACTAGAGAATGTTTAATGGATTCTCGTTGACTACCCTATCTATTTACCTGAGTATGGCAGAACACCAATATCATAAAGGTATGATATCGGTATATTCTGCTATACGAGAGAAAGAGAAATAAGAGTAAAAACGCGGCTTCAGTAGTTAGTCCCCGAATTCGTTTGGAATATTTGATAACATTGGCCTACACGAGATCATATGGTGTGCTCATAAAGGTCATTATGGCGTCTGAAAAATTCATGAATGTTACCAAAGAAGGATTTGTTAAGTGCATATATATTGATATTATATATACATGATGTTCTCTGTATGTATAACAGCACGCTATGTGGTGCATTACCGTTTTTGCTAGGGTAAAAATGAACACGTCACTACCTACCTTGGGAAAAGCAGCTCACAAGCATTATAATTCTAGAAAAGTCACCGTCGCCTTATCACTTAATGGAGCTTAAAGAGGATCAAAGGATATTTCGGTGTGTGAACAACTTTCGATTTTTTTTCGCGATCCTATCATTTTGTGATAAAGCGAAACGAGAAAGAAACAGGCATACGATAGCTAAACTGGCGGTCTCTCCTTGTCAAGAGAGATGGCAAAACAGTTACAATATACATTCAAATCTGTATTAAGAGGCAACATATGTGAAGACCCAAAAGTGATTTTTTGAATAGAGATGTTCTCTAAATAGAACTTTTAAAGATATATACATGCATGATGGGGCTTACATGCAATGTTGGGGAAACGATTAACGAAGGCCATTTGAACGCTTCTGCCGGAGAAAATTATAATACAAAAAATTGGAATCCCGCATGATATATACACCGCCATAATATACAAGCGTATGTTGAAATATATCTANAGATTTGTATGCCTAAATAATAACAAAAGAAAAAGAGGCCACAGTCTCACACTACTAAAGGGGATGTGCAGGTTGAACTTAAGAAAATATGTTTTTAAAGAACGTATTGTAAACCACTGGAACTCCCTACCCGATACTGTCGTCACCTCACCAACAATCAAAACATTTGAATCCCGTCTGGATAAGTATTGGGGACAACCTGATTGTTTCTATAACCATGAGATAGACAATAATGAACTTATTCATTGCCGGGACGTCAGCATAGTGTCTGACGATATTCCAGATCTGGATTTATAGGCATATTGCCTGCGTCCAGTATTATTATTATTATTATCATTATTATTATACGATAGCTAAACTGGCGGTATCTCCTTGTCAAGAGAGGTGGCAAAACAGTTACAATATACAGTCAAATATGTATTTAGAGGCAACATATGTGAAGACCCAAAAGTGATTTTTTGAATAGAGATGTTCTCTAAATAGAACTTTTAAAGATATATACATGCATTATGGGGTTTACATGAAATGTTGGGGAAACGATTAACGAAGGCCATTTGAACGCTTCTGCCGGAGTAAATTATAATACAAAAAATTGGAATCCCGCATTATATATACACCGCCATAATATACAAGCGTATGTTGAAATATATCTATTCTACCACATAAAATAATATTTGAATTTATTCTCCTTTTCTTATCTACTTCAGCGCCTCCAAGGCAATTTGTTCCAGATCTTCTATCATGTAAATAAAGATATTTTTTCGCACAGATTCTCGAGGCAACCTGCGATGGCCTCTCAATTTTATACACATTCTCGCGATGACAAACCCTGAACAAATAGTGAAATAATCAATGAATACAGGTGCCTGTTTT